CCCACCCAGCACTGCTCCCCCAGCCCGAGTCACGGAAGCGTTGTACAAAAGGGCTGGGACTGTCCTGGCCCTGAGGTGTGCCGGCATTGCTGTCAGTGTCCTGGGGCTGAGCAGTAGCACTGCTCCGGGCCAGCCTTGGGAGCGGAGCAGGCAGCACCTTGCTCTGTCCACCCTGATGGCCGGCTGGGCATGCATCGTCCATACTGCTGCCATGGGCCATTAGCCTCTTCCACCTCTGCTACCCATTTTAAACATGAGAGAGAACATATGTGTCTTTATCAGATATCGTCCCTGTTGGGTTTGGTTCCTGTGCTCGATGAGTGGCTGCAGGGAAGCGGCTTGTTCCCTCACCCAGGCCGCTTGAAGCCTCCCAAGGCAGCAGCTGATCAAACTTTATTGCTGTTTGATGGTGTCAGATAATGACTTGATTTTTGTTATCTGATGCATGAGACACCAGAATGGAGGTGGTATGTGGTCTCCTGGCCCTTTGTAAGTCTGGTATTGAGGATTCTGAAGAGATGGCCATCCGTGCAAGACCCGAACAGCCGCAAAGTGCTTCATTTCTCTGTGGCAAGGCTGCTGAGGGCTCGTACATGGTCCTTCACTTTTTGCGTGGTGCGGGAGGAGGCTTTTACTGTGTCTCTCTTGCGGAGGAGGAGGGAGAAATACCAGCATTTAGTCTATACGTGCTGACGAGTAGCAGAGAGGAGTCCTGCCGCGAAGGGGAGCAGCGGCAGTCGCCTGGCATCCCCTGCAGTCACCCGAGGGCGGCCCTGCTCCGCGCCTGCACCCAGCACTGACGGGCTTGGGTTTGCGGCTGAGCGCTGGTCAGGTATGGCGGCTTCACAGATGGCTCCCTGCTAGCTGGCCGACCCCCACCTGGGGTGCCCTGCCAGCGAGACCTGAGCAGGCTGTGCCACAAAGCCCACCCTGTGCCGCAGGGCTCTGTGCAGCCCCCAGTACGGGCTTGAATAAATGCTACAGTAACATAATTAACTAATGTCAGCCACCGGTGGGAAGAAGAGGCCTTGTCTAGGAAAGACAGTGGTACCTCTCCTAGATATCTCCCGAAGCGTACATATATATTTGTAACAATATGTACATATATTAATACAGTGGGCTGCATGTCACAATTTTATGCGGTTTTGCTGTATAGATTCCATATGCATATGCATATGCCATTAAGCTAGCATATGCATCAAAACGTTCACAATAAGCATAAATCACTGAATGTTTTTCTGTTATAGAACTAGTAGCTTTATATTACTAAGTGGTCTTTAAAATACTGTAGCAGGCTCTCTTTTTTG